GAACTTTATGTCTCTATTCAAGAGGTACATCAGTCTGTATTTTTCCTCTCATATTTTTGTCAGGTTTTAATATCAGTGTGATGCTGACTTTATACAGTGAGTTAGGAACCTTTTTTTTTTTTTAACGATTTCCTGAAAGTTTATGCAAGATTGATATTATATCATTCTTAAGTATTTGATAGAATTCATCTGGACCCAGAGCTTTGGGGGAAATTTTTATTATTTGGATTTTTAACTTATTCTTGTCAGTTTTGGTAAATTGTGTTGGTAAATTGTGTTTTTCAAGGGTTTTTCTATTTTATCTGTTATTGAATTTATTGTCATAAAGTTGTTCATACTAACATTCTTTTTAATATCTGTAGGATTTGTAGCAATATTCCCTCTTCATTCTTTTTTTTTTTTTTAATGTTTATTTATTTTGCAAGGGAGCTTGAACAAGTGGGGGAGCGGCAGAGGGGGGGGGGGGGGGGGAGAGAATCCCAAGCAGGCTCCCTGCTGTCAGCACAGAGCCTGTCACGGAGCTCGATCTCTAGAACCTTGAGATCATGTCCCGAGCTGAAACCAAGAGTCAGATACTCAACCAGCTGAGTAACTTTTAAAGTAACAGATTAACTTTCATTAATCTGGTCAAATAATCATCTTTTGACTTTATCTTTATCTTATAGTTAATTTCTTTTTTTTTTTTTTTAATGTTTATTTATTTTTGAGACAGAGAGAGACACAGCATGAGCAGGGAAGGGGCAGAGAGAGAGGGAGACACAGAATGTGAAGCAGGCTCCAGGCTCTGAGCTATCAGCACAGAGCCCGACGCGGGGCTTGAACTCACGAACTGTGAGATCATGACCTGAGCCGAAGTCAGACGTTAACCCACTGAGCCACCCAGGCGCCCCTGTTTGTTTTTTTTTTTTTTTTTTAATATTTGTTTATTTTTGAGAGAGAGAGAGGGAGAGGGAGAGAGAGAGACAGCATGAGTGGGGGAAGGGGCAAAGAGAGAGGGAGACACCAAATCCGAAGCATCTTTGGGCTCTGAGCTGTCGGCACAAAGCCTGACGCAGGACTCACACAGTGTGAGATCGTGACCGGAGCCGAAGTTGGATGCTCAACTGACTGAGCCACTCAGGCACCCCCGTTAATTTCTTTATTACAACATTTGATCGAGAAGGTAGCCTGTATTATTTCTAGTTAGAATCCATTTTTAAAAATGTGTATGGTCTAACTCATGATTAATACCCCTTTGGGGTACTCCAGTTGGATGGGGGAACTACCAACTGTGCGGGGTCCCACTTGGATGGAGGCTGGCAGCACAGGCAGTGAAAGAATTCATTCAAGGCAGAACAGAAGAGATATGATTTATTGGATCTACTGTAATGGAATGGTGGGCAGGACAGCAAAAGAGACACTGTCTGCAACAAGGCAGTCGGTGGTGAGGGGCCACAGTTATAGGGCAGAGTGAGGGAGTATGGGACATATGGAATTTTATCTTTTTTGGCAATCGTAGGAACTGTGCCTATTTGTAATTGGTCAGTTAGAACCTATGGCTGTTTTGAAGTGGGTTGCTTAATGAGTCTGGTTGCATTCAGCCCTGTGGTCCCTATGGGCCCTTTTGCCTTACTCAAGTTTCCATTGCTCAAGCCTGTTGCCTAAAAGCAGCATCTACAACTCCCTTGTTTCTTGTCCCATAGATACATTGTTTAAATAATGAACATGGAGTTCGCACCTTGGTGAATTACAGGTAGAGACTACTCCAGATGGAGTTATCACACAAAGGAAATTATTTGCAGCAAATAAAGTCATGCAAGGGTGAATGGGTTGCTATTATTTAGGGTTAGGATGAATATTCAGAAAGGGGGCTTTGTCATTGTATGTAGAGGTAGGCATAACGTTATGCATGCACCTTGAGGAAACATGTCTGTACATACATTGTATGTTAATGAGGCTTATGCTCTTCCTGGGGCAAAGATTTTAGTGTTATAATCAAGTAAAAGTAACTGTCACTCCATGGGGCATCTATGCAGTTGTGAGTTGGGATTTGAGCTCAAATTGGGTGGTCTGGAGCCACCAGAGGTTTGTGTGGGCAGTCATTTTTGTTTGAGGGGTAGTTTTGGTTTCCATTATGGGATGCTGTCTGTGCCCATGGGGTTCTTTGCCTGAGTTGAAAGGTAAGCTGGGAAGAGCTTAAAAAGGGTGGAACAAAGGTTGGTGGGTACATGCAGGTGGGCAGTAAAAGGTTAGTTGTTGAAGTCTAGCTGGTTAACAGAATATCCACATTAAATTTTTATGTTTTGATCTTTTGTTTTCTGAAATAATATTAGTCTCCAACTGTGATTGTAGATTTGTCTTTTTATTATTAATTTTTTTCTATCTGTTTTTGCTTTACAGAAAGCTCTTTGAAGCTTTTATTAGTTACACTATCATAGCTCCTATGTCTTTTATTAGTATGAAATTTTTCTTACTAATATAAAATCTTTTTACCTTGTTCTACTTTATCTTATGTCAATATTGCTCATCTACTTTGTTTTTCTTTCAATTTTTAAAAATATTTTTGAGAGAGAGAGAGAGAGAGAGTGTGCATGTGGGCAGAGTGGGGGAGGGGCAGAGAGAGAGAGGGAGATACAGAATCCAAAGCAGGCTCCAGGCTTTGGGCTGGCAGCACAGAGCCCAACGCAGGACTCGAACCCATGAACTGCGAGATCATGACTTGAGCCAAAGACAGTTAACTGACTGAGCCACCCAGGCACCCCTAAATTTTTTTTAATGTTTATTTATTTTTGAGAGAGAGGGAGAGACAGAGTGTGAGTGGGGAAGGGGCAGAGAGAAAGGGAGACACAGATTCCAAAGCAGGCTCCATCCAGGCTCTGAGCTGTCAGCACAGACGTGGGTCTCAAACTCACAGACCCTGAGATCATGACCTGAGCTGAAGTTGGATAGTTAACTGACTGAGCCACCCAGGTGCCCTGTTTTTCTAATTTTTAAAAGTTTCGTTCCAGGTGTGCCTCTTGTAAACAGCATCAGTCTAGACTAGAATAAGACATAGACTTAAAAATAAAAAAATTTTTTTTAATCTTTATTTATTTTTGAGAGAGAGACAGAGTGTGAACAGGGGAGGAGCAGAGAGGGAGTGAGACACAGAATCCGAAGCAGGCTCCAGGCCCTGAGCTGTTAGCACAGAAACCGACACGGGGCTCGAACTCACGAACTGTGAGATCATGACCTGAGCCGAAGTCGGACGCTCAACTGGCTGAGCCACCCAGGCACCCCCCCTTTTTAAAAACAACAACAACAAGCACATTTAAGCTGTTTACAATTATTGTGATTGCTGATGTTTTCTTTGTACCCAGCTTTCTTGTTGCATTTTCCCCTTACCTTTCTCTCACCTTCTTACCTTCCTTTTTCCCCTTCTCTAATACCACCAGTTCCTCCTCCCAGTGTTTGCTGGCAGTTCCTGTCCTGCTAGCAGTGAGGGTCTTTTGCAGAAAACCTCTAATTTTGTCCCATTGCATTTGGTATCTCTACAGAATAACTGAATAAAGCAGTGTTACCCAGACAGTGCTCCTTTCCCCTATGTAAGCTTCAAATCTCATTTCTGGATTAATGATTGTTTTAGATTCAGTTCAGAAATGAGAAAACTAATTTTACAGGAGACATACCTGTAGCAGAGTTACTGGTTTCTGTATCTATATCATAGAAGGTGTGGAGATCTCCATATTGACCTCTGCATCAAGGTTTTAGGCCCACAGTATAAGACTTAGTAAAAATGAGATTTACATTTTGATTGGTCTCTCCTGTACCCTTTCCCTCTAGCATATGGAATATATATGTCATGCAGTACTAGAGGGACACCTAGATGCAATTTAAATAACAATAAATCAGTTGAGTTACCCTGCTTTTAGTCATTCAGTTCTTTTGGGTTATCATGAGAGAAAGCATCTGTTTGATTCTTTACTTTTGTCAAACACTTGCTGATAACCTCCCTCCTTACTTTTTTGTAAATAGTGAACTGGACTTAAGCTCACTCACTGCCTTGTTGGGCACCAGTATTTAGCTAGAATTTAGTAATACCGTTTTGTTTTCCTTTTAAGTGATTTCTTTTTGTTACCTTGTATTTTTTCACAATAATTACTAATTTCCCATTCAAGATAGTGATTAAATTTTCCTTTAAAATTTTTGTTTTAAAAAATTGAATCAATTTCAAAGAAAAATGCTAATTTGAGAATGTGGTATATGTTGGGAGGTTAGATGTGGCCCCGATGGAAAAGGTAATATGGGAGTGAGTAAGATTTGGGAGTTGCTTCTCCAGCATTTCTCAGGCATCTTGGTTATTTCTGCTTTATCTGCAGAACTAACTTGTTTAACAATTATTTACTGAGCATCTGCTTTGTTCAGAGAACTGTTCTGAGAATAGGAGGAGAAATACGGTGTTCACCTTGTAGTCTAGGTATGGGAGAGGACATGTGTTGATGTGGCAGCTAATGTGAGTGTATGATGGTAAATGCTGTCAGAGCGGCCAGGACGTTGTGCGGATGAGGAAGTGGAGGCCATCTCTGGCTGGGGTCTTGAGGCTTTGGCTCAAACTAATGTTTTCACCTATGTACCTTTCTCTTTTCCATTTTGAATCTCTCTTCCTAAATCCACATCACTTTTGCGGAGAGAAGAGGCTCTTGTGTGTAGGCATTACTCTGAGAAGGATCGGGTCCAAAAGGAGGAGTGTCACATTGGTCCTCGGGAGACAGAATGGCTTCCGGAGTTCTGGATCTAACACACCTGTGTTTAGCTGGATAGCTACCTAATTGTTTTTAGTCCCATCTTCTTCATCTTTATTGATGATGATGAAACTCATTGTCCTACCTGCTTCATTAGACAGCATATGTGAGAGACATTCATGATATACACTTGTATATCCATATTATTTTCATTCTTATTAGTATTTGAAATCCTTATGGTTAATGATTTTGACTGTAATTTTAGGTGTTTAATTCTTTTCTCTCTATTTTTTTTTCTAGGTCTTGATGCAGAACTTTATTATGTGAGAAATGACCTTATTAGTCACTACGCCTTATCCTTTAACCTGTTAGTACCCAGTGAGACAAATTTCCTGCACTTCACTTGGCATGCAAAGTCCAAGGTAAGAGAGTAGTCAACCAAAGATGTCAAGACAGGACCACTCAGGCCCAGATGCCAATGCAAGGCCTATATCTGAGGGATGGACTGCCATCTATACAAAAGGGCTAGTAGGTGGTGGGCTGTAGCAGTACTGAGTCTTTTCAGATTTATATTTTAAGTCTTTAGCCTATTCCTTTAGACTTTCTCAAGTCCTATAAAATGAAGGTAGCCACCATTTATGTCAGGCTTATGATAGAACATTTATATCCTTTCAGGCTTTTCAAGCAGGGATGCAGATCTAATGTGAAGAGGGAACAGTTGAACTTGCTGATGTTCTGTTATTTTTTAATTTTTTTAAATGTTTATTTGTTTTTGAGAGACAGAGACAGAGAACAAGCAGGGGAGGAACAGAGAGAGAGGGAGACACAGAATCTGAAGCAGGCTCAGGCTCTGAGCTGTCAGCACAGAGACTGATGCGGGGCTCGAACTCACGAACTGTGAGATCATGACCTGAGCCAAAGTCAGTTGCTTAACTGACTGAGCCACCCAGGTTCCCCTTGACTGCTGTTATTGTGAAGCCATAGGAATGGAGGATAGGGACGTTGTTTTAGGCGTGTTTGATGTAATGGATATAGTTCTGCCATTTATGGAGAAATGGTAAAAGTAGGGTACAGCAGATGCAGGCACCCACGTGTGCTGTGGCCAAGCTCCTTTAACTGTAATGAACCTCTTGCCTGGCTTACTTGTAGCTGAATTCTTCACATTTTCTCTGACTGAGCTCCACAAACATGAAAAGTTTTTTCATACGTCAAAAGTGGGAAGCTGAGGGAAGAGCCCACCTCCTCCAATCAACTTTAATTTCTTTTATTAGCATTATATATGAACTGAGTAGGATTTTATTTGGGAAATAAAAATAGTTTTGCTACTAAAATCTCTAGCAGAGTTTTTTTTTTTTTTAAGTATTACAAAGTGATATTTGTCCTGATATTTGTTGCAAGTCATTTAAATTTGGTGACTTTAATATAGATCTTTTTATCTACTTAGAAACAATGAGTACTAGGAAAACCAAGTATTAATAGAATTATTTAAAAAACTACCAAGACTTTGTAGATCTATACCCAGAAATTATTGTTGTTTATAGTTTAGTATACTTCAAACTCATTTTTTAATAATGTTTATTTATTTTTGAGAGAGAGAATGAGAAAGAGAGAGAGAAAGAGAACGTGAGCAGGTGAAGGGCAGAGAGAGAGGGAGACAAAGAATCCTAAGCAGGCTCATGCTGTCAGTGCAGAACCCAATGTAGTGTTCGAATCCATGAACTGTGAGATCATGACCTGAGCCCAATCAAGAGTCAGATGCTTAACCCACTGAGCCACCCCCACACTGCCAAACTCACTTTTTTTTTTTACCTTTTTAAACAAAAAGGGGATTTATGACACCTATGTTGTACAGTATTTTCCCCCTTACCTAATACTGTCTTTTGGCATCTTTCCATTTCACTACTTACAGATTTAACTCATTCTGTATAATGGCTTATTATAATATGATATTGTATGGATGCATGATTATTTCTTTTTAGTTTATTTTTATTTTTGAGTGAGAATATTTTTAAATTTAAAAAATTTTTCATCTCGTTTTCCTTATTTATTTCTGGTGACAATGCTGTTAACACTAAAATGGAAAACAACGTACAAAAAAGGAAAAGGTAAAAGACAACTTTGACAATTATCTATACACTGGATATAGTGGCAGAGAATATAATATGGTCAGATTCTAGTTACTTTTAACAGCTTTACTGAGGTGTGATTTACATACAATAAAATTCACTCATTTTGAGTACATAGTCCAATGATTTTTTTGAGTTTGTGCAGAGTTTTCCAGAGTTGTGCAGCCATCACCACAATCCAATTTTTGAACATTTCCGTCACTCCAGTAGGGTCCCTTGTGCCTGTTAGCAGTCACTCTTCAGTCCTACCCCCAACCACAGGCAACTACTCAGCTACCTCTGTCCTTATGCATTTGCCTGTTCTGGACATTTCATATAACTGGAGTCATAGAAAGTATGGTCTTTTGTGACTGTTTTCTTTCACTTAGCAAATGTTTCTAAAATTTGTCCACGTTGTAGCATGATATCAATACTCATTCCTTTTTATTACTGAGTAGTATTTCTTTAAAAAAAATTTTTTTTAATGCTTATTTTTGACAGAGACAGAGCATGAGCAGGGGAGGGGCAGAGAGAGAGAGGGAGACACAGAATCCAAAGCAGGCTCCAGGCCCTGAGCTGTCAGCACAGAGCCTGATGTGGGGCTCGAACCCACAGATCACGAGATCATTCCCTGAGCCGAAGTCGGACGCTCAACCGACTGAGCCACCCAGGTGCCCCGAGTAGTATTTCTTTTTAGTGGATAGACCATAATTTGTTTATCCATTCACCAGTTGAGGGTTGTTCAACTGTTTTTTTTTTGGGGGGGGGGTTCTACTTTTTCACTAGTTATGAATGATGCTGCTGTGATCATTTGTGTACAAGTCTTTGTGTAGGCTTATGTTTTCATTTCTCTTGGGTATTTACCAAGGTTGGAAATTGCTGGGTTGTGTAGTAAAATTGTGTTTAATTTCTTAAGAAACTGCCATTTCTTCCAAAATGGCTGCACTATTTTACATTCCCATCATCAAAGTACAAGGGTTCCAATTTCTCTACATCCTCACCAACACTTGTTATTTTCTGGGTTTTTGATTATATCCATCATAGTGGGCATGAAGTAGTATCTCATGGTGGTCCTGAGACAGTGAGAATCTTAAGCAGGCTCCACACTCAGCACAGAGCCTGATGTGGGACAAAATGACTGTGAGATCATGACCTGAGCTGAAATCAAAAGTCAGACGTTTAGCCAACTGAGCCACCCAGGCACCCGAATGTATGATTATTTCTTAAGTGCCTCGTTGACACATGTATTTTTAATAGCATTTCACTATTTCAAACAATGCTTCCTTTCTGTGTTAGAGATAGTTTCCTTCCCTTCATCTGTCAGGCAAAATCCATAGTACAGAGATAGTGAAAACAATTGGTAGTTCATCTTTTGTTACTGTTTCTACCTTTGTTATTGTTGAATATAGAAACACAGAAAAAATATGTGTGTGAATGTGTACTTGGGTGTGTGTGTGTGTGTGTGTGTGTGTGTGTGTGTGTGCATACATTGAGAACATCTTTGTTCAAAAAATTTTTTGCACTTGTGGCATAATTTTTGAATAGTAAATTATCACCAAGTAGTGAAATGGCAGGGTCAGAGTGTTTAAAGTTTTGATTAACATTGCCAAATTATTTCTCCTTCCCTCTCCCAAGATGGTACCAATGAACCAACGTTCCTTACCAAATGAATAGGGGTGTTTATTTATTTCTTCAATTCACTCCTTAACACTAAATATTTTAAGTATAGTTGTTTGCTAATCAGTGAGTAAAAATGATTATATAACTATCCATATATTCCTATTATTATTACAGTTGACCCTTGAATAACGTGGGGGTTACAGGGTACTGATGTGCTCCCCCTGCAGTTGAAAATCCACATAGAACTTTTGATTGCTTCAAAACTTAACTACTAATGGTCACATATTTTGTATGTTATAGATATTTAAAAAAATTTTTTTAAATGTTAATTTTTGAGAGAGACAGCATGAGTGGGGGAGGGGCAGAGAGAGAGAGAGAGAGAGAGAGAGAGAGAGAGAATGAATATGAAACAGGCTCCAGGCTCTGAGCTGCCAGCATAGAGCCTGATGTGGGGCTTGAACCCACAGACCACAAGATCATGACCTGAGCCGAAATTGGTTGCTTAACTGACTGAGCCATCCAGGTGCCCCATATGTTATAGATATTATATACTGTAATTCTTACAAAAAGTAAGCTAGAGAAAGAAAATGTTAAAAATAATCATAAGGAAGAGAAAATCCATTTATAGTACTGTACTATAAAAAAAAAAAAATCTGTGTGGGACACCTGGGTGGCTCATTCAGTTGAATATCCCACTCTTGATTTTGTCTCAGGTCATGATCCCTAAGTCATGGGATTAAGCCCTACATTGGGCTCCATGCTGAGTGTGGAGCCTGCTTGGGGATTCTGTCTCTCTCTGCCCCTCTCCCCTACTTGTGCTCTCCTAAAAAAAAAAAAAAAATCCACATAAGTGGGCTTGTGCAGTTCAAACACATATTGTTCAAGGATCAGCTGTATATATACTCAAGCATATGTTACAGAAACATTATATACACATATACATACAGGCATTAAAATATAAACTGCAGTAATGTGATTAAAGTTGACTTAGCTTGGATTCTGGGTAAAACATATGTGCCTTGTTGGAGCACCTCAACTGTCCAACACTGTTGCCTTGGGGTATCCAAACATGGGCTGCTTTTTTAGCAGTAGATAGGTCTCTTTAGGGTGAAAACTGCAAAAACAGAGGTCAAGAGAGAGAAGTCATACGAAACAATTAAGAACATGTAGTAAATGGTAACCTGGATATGCTGAACTGCCAAAATAAATGGTACAGATAATTCAGAAAAGGTTCACCTGAGACATTAAAATTTTTTTAATGTTTATTTATTTTTGAAAGAGAGAGAGAGAGAGACAGAGCACAAGTGGGGAAGGGGCAGAGAAAGAGGGAGACACGGAATCCAAAGCAGGCTTCTGTCAGCACAGAACCCGACACAGGGCTCAAACTCATGGACTGTGGGATCATGACCTGAGCTGAAGTTGGACACCTAACCAGCTGAGCCACCCAGGTGCCCCAACCTGAGATATTTTAATATGAGCTGTGTCATTTTCAATGAATAAGCATCTGGACTCTTCAAGGAAACTGGACTAACACATTTTCCAGTATTCTTACATAACATTATGTGACCTTATTATTTAGAGGTGGGGGTAACTTTTAATTATGATATGATTTCAAACATAAAGGAAAATTATAAGAACAGTACAAATAATTCTCATATATCCTTTACCCACATTCACCGATTATTACTGGTTTGCTT